TCAAATCCGCCAGAAATGAGGGCAAAATGCAGCACTTGTCGATGGTAATCTCCGGCCAGTAGATTTAGCTTGGCAGCGAAGCCAGCCATGGCTATATAGTATGACTGACCACTGTAACGTCATTCCAATGCTTGGCTCAGAAGTGGCTAGCCAGCTGGAAGATCGATTACTGTAGTGAGCAGCAGTTGACGGCCTCCTTACTACGAGCTGGACTTTTTTTGGGGTAAAGGCAATTTATTGGTCGAAAGATTGCCAGGATCATTTACGGTGTTTCCATTAGCGAGTGGGCCCGCCTGAGACCTTCAATGATGAAGGACGAGGTCTTTCCGCAATCACCGTCCTCTCTGATGTCGGACGACGTCTTTGAGGCCATCTCTCCAGCCAGCCAGCTCCAGGCCAACCAGCAAGTGTACATCTCTTCCAAGCCACTGGACAAGCCTCGCAACAAAAAGAAGAAGTGCAACGAGCGCGAACGCTATCGACATCGGACCGTCAACGACGCATTCGTAAGTCAGCCACCGCTATCGTCTTTCACCCTCTGTTCATCAAATTGAATGAAAACCACTATAAAGGTTTGTCATATTATTACAACGCACACCTCTACCTCATTTTCTCCTCAATGAGGAATATGATAGCCAATATGAGGAGACTGAATGCGCGTTATTTTTTCGGTGAATGGGCGCGCAAAAGCTAATATAATTTCTCTTCCAGAAAGCACTGAGCAACTTCTTGCCGGTTTATCCTGCCAGCAAGAAGCTGAAAAAGAAAGAAATTCTCATGCAGTCCATCAAATATATCAACATTCTGAAGACGGTCCTGCGAAACCTGGAGGAGATTCCTGCGAAAGCTGCTAGACGACAGTCATGGGCGGATGACCTGAGGCAACCTGAGGAAGATTTCTCCATCGAGAGCGATAGTCATCCCATTACACTGGTGTCCGACCACGTCCCTTGCCGCTCCAGTTCCTGGAGTTGCGAGCAGACATCGACTTGGACGTCGAGCATGGAGGGCAGCTCAGATGACGTCCTTCAATCAGCTGTGACGCAAGCGGGAGACGGGCTGGACGACTGGCTGGCTGACATGCTGGAAGCTGGTTACTGCTACGTGTGACCAGACCGAAGAAGATACAAATAAAAGAAGAGCAATCTCTCGTGTCAATCTTGATGTCCACTCCTGTTAGGCTTTATCGGTAACGAGGACTACACGCGCCCATCAGCCATAATCTGGATAAAGCCGTGTCGGGTGACGCCCTAAAGTGCTCCTTCAAGTTTGCCTTGTAACCGATATGCCTTTGTGGCCTTTTGTGGATAGTCGAGACTCGTGCCTTTTCTAAACGATAATGTGTCCTAATGTTTCCATATTTGCTAACAAACAGCCAGACCTGTCAACAATGCTGACAGCAAGATGATTTATGTGCCAATTAGCCCAGCTGATGTTGTACGGCATCTACAGCAGTCCACAGCCGAAAATACAATTGTACAATTGCATTGGTTATTTGGACTAGTGGTACATAAATCGACTGGAGAAGGTTTGAAAAGAAGTACATTTATGGGGTCCTTGTGCTCAACAACCACCACTATACAGACTGCAAGTAAGCTCTGCCGGCTCCATACGCATGGTAATAATAATGCATACTTAATTAACCCCTACGTACGCTTTACTCATCGACCAATATTCACAGTTCCAGAAGGGGGTATTGCCCATGTTAAAATTGACGAGCTTCCAATACTCACTTTACGGCGGTCGAAGTGAAGGACGAAATTGAGTTGCTTTCCAAATTCGGCAACCCATGGTTGAAGGGCCATAAACCTGACGTCATCCAAGAAACTAGGCCTTCAGTTCAAAGCAAACAGGAAACAAAATAGCGTCGTTATGCAGAGGCGGGAAGTTCGTATGACAATACAAAAGCCACCACTCTACTCAACTGTGAACCCAGCAGCAGAGCATCTCCCGATATACAGTAGGTCAAAGCTTTTTAATTGACCAGAGCCGCGTAATTGACGTTGCGGGACAGCACATGATGAAAGCCAGATCTCATATATAAAACCAGAGGCGGTACTTTTTCTTTGACATATCGTTGTGCTTTATTTGGGTAGAGCTTGACAAGGTCTTGGCGGAGCCGTTTGACAGTTGAAATTACGTAATGTAAGGCCAAAGTCAGTTTCAAGTTGTTTCTTCTTCGTTGTGCTGAGCTGGACTGCTCTCGGACGCCAGACACCATGAAACATCTCTTTTACCTTTCGCTCCTTGTCTACTTTTGCGCCGTGGCACGCTTAAGCCACCAGACCAGCGCCGTCACCATCGATGACAACGCCTTCTATCGTAAGTTGCTCTCAAGACCAAAACCTTTGGCGGAAGAAAGTTCTTTTGGCTGAAAACTTTCAAGTTACGAAAGATGATTTGCAGGCTTGCTAACGATGCGTTTCGGCCGCATGCCTAAAATGGTAATTCTCGGTCCTTATGTTCTTTCAGCCGGTGAAGGTGGGATGAATGAAGTGAAACGACCCAAGTTCTCCGAAGAAACCTCCTGGTACTTGGGCAAACGCGGCGGACCGGTGGTTATGACTGACCGGGGATACGGTAGTGGTCTTGGATGGTACGCGGGTAAGCGGGGCGGACCTGCGGACTTTGAGCGGACCTATGGTAGCGGATCGTACTTGGGCAAGCGCAGTCCGCATGCCGAAGACTCCTCCTGGTACTTGGGCAAACGCAGCGCATACTGGGGACCTCGTCCGGTCCTGTCCTGGTTGGGATGGCAGACTAGTTCAGCTGACAAAGGCCAAGATGCAGGCGAGATGGTCCGACCAGGAAGAGCCACCAGCGTATTGCGTTTTGGCCGTTCTGTCCGCACCTCACTTGCCAAGATTCCCAAGTTGCCCTCACATGCTAACCTCGACGGCAACAGCCCTCATCGACACATGCGAAACCAAGTGTGGTGAGTTCGAAATTCCAAGGCCTGCCTAGCTTCATATTTCTCAACTGGACCATCTTCTGAGATTACACAACATGCTTTGTTTCATTACAAAACTGCATATGCCGACAAGGTTAAACCGTACCACTCAACGAGCACCGGCTTTCGTTCCTGTTAGCCTCGCCGCAGTCACCGGCTAGACATATACCGCACCTGACCTCGGCACCTGAGCAACTTTTAATTTCGTTCAAACTGGGCAGCGGCAGCATGAAACTTTGGTTTCCTACAAACATCGTTGCAATTATGGCAAATGGATTGTCGCGACCCTGTTTTATCCCTTACTCTGAGAAGTTTTCTGCCTTTTCAGAACGAATGAGCATCCCTGCGCACCTGATATTCGCTAATATATATCTTTCGCAATGGATGCTGGGAAATTTTGTTGATGTTTTAAACGGCGCCCTTAAATTTTTCCGCCGATTACCGATTATATGTTTAATTTCGTGGTTTCAAGTGGCCCACTCTCCTTCCTTTTTTACATGATTATTTTTACTGGCGGTTGACATTGTAGTGCTGGAAAGGGGGTTGTTATTAACCGGAATAAAACTCTCGCGCTTACGAACTTCCGATCTCGCCCTCGGGTTTACAGATATTTCACACAATGACTCTAAAATCTGGACCGTAATGTTCCCCTACTTGACGGCTGGTATAAATATTAGCTGCGGAAGTATGACTTGTCCCCTTGGTCTCTCCCGAAGTTAGAGGTTTTTTCTGACGCAATATCTCAATCTCTTTGAACAACTTATGCACTCACAGTAGCACGGAATTCTCGAGATTTTTTTGGGAGACACTTCGTTCCATTGCTGCAAAAGCCTGGGAAAAGAGAGACAATAATCTCCGTAACGCCACTTTTCAAACCCACTTCCGGGAAAATTTCTCTATCTCGCTGGAGAAGGTTCAACTTCAACGTCTTAAGCAGGTGATAATCTGTTAGCAGGAGGATCCTACTATAAGAAGCCTGAATGAGAAATTCCAGTTCCTATTCCTGCAGTTTTGCGGAATTGTTTTGTTCAGAGTGCACTCCGGAGCAGACGTGCAACAGCAGTGAATCCAGACCGTGAATTAATTTCGTTTGTTCAGAGGGAAGGTTCCCATGAATAATGCCTGCTCCAAAGAGAAATAGAATAACGTTATCACACCGCTGGACGAAAGAGATTTATAGCGGTCAGGTGTGTGAGTTAGCCATCAAAATGTGATCATGGTTCTTTTTTCCAGTGCCGCTCACAGTTCGAAATTTTCTGTCGTGGTTTGTCTCCGGCCGAACATACCATTTATCGCTTGGAAATCTTCTATAGAGTGCCGGTGTTGTCAGGAATAGCAATGCGGTCTGCTGTCAGCTCGCTCTTTTTGCAACCCGGAAAGGGAAAAAAGGCAAAACTCCGCGTTATTTACGGGGTGCAGCGAATTAAGTGGGGTACCAAATTTTCTTGTTTTATCGCCCTCCTCGTCTTATCTAGAACTACTATGAAACTTTGTGGAGGCAGACTTTAGTCCTGTAAGAATTACACCATACTTCGGGAAAGATCGGGTGTGACATGATCGGTCAACACGTTGTCGTCCACTTTCGATTTCAGTCTTCCATAAGGGTAACTTTTGAATGAAAAATTCCCAGAACGAAACCGATCAACCCGGTCCCCCACAGTAAAACTGTTTGGTGTTTCATCATCAAGCACACATCTGATTCCGTCGGCGGTGCGAGATGCGTTCGTGCCTCGATAAAATTCAAACACCAGAATCCCCGAAATTTCATTCATGCATGACTCCGACGAAATAATTCCTCACGTACTCGAGAGCTGAGAAACCTGACTCAATAGAGTGTTCAACAAGGGGCGGGAGTTGGTAGACTGGCAGGAGAAAATGTTTAGAACGAAAGGATAAGGGGGAGCAGAACTATGAATTTTTGAAGTCAAGATGTTTTAAGGGGGACAAGTCATACTTCCGCACCTAATAAATATACAGGAAGCACACGTGAGGAAGCGGACGTCGGTTCAGCAACATGTACATTTGCACTGAACGGAAAAGGCAAAAATTCTGATGACGGAGGGATTCGAACCCTCGCCTACAAAGTAGACTGGTACCTGAAACCAGCGCCTTAGACCACTCGGCCACGTCACCGTTATTGAACAACCAGTTAAACTTATCGCTCGTACTTGATCACGCTCTAAGTGGCATCTTGTTGGGTAATCACCTTGCTTTGGCTCTCCTCACTTTTGTCCGGCTAGTCTGCTCATGATACTTTCATGGCGGAGAGTGCCATATTTGGCTTGCCAGCCTATACTTACGTTACTCTCATATTCTGATAATAACTTCAGTCATCGCACATTTAATTGCATCTTCAATTTAGAATAACCTGGGTTCGTTCCGGTGCGTCAATGGGAAATACCCATCACTGTAACACAACGACACGAAACGGAGTGCACCTCTCCCATCCACCAAGGAAACTCTCCATAATTAATTGGCCGTCAGTGGTAACGATGAATAGCTTGCCTATAAAATGCGAGACACTTTTCACAGGGGGACTTCACTTTATCAGCGTTCATCGGACTTCTGGCTTTTTGCACGCGCACATCGTTCCGCCAACATGGTCAGTTTTACCGGGAGGCGGTCGACCAGTATCTGGTTTTGCCTCATACTCATTCTGCCTAATATCATTTCTGCAGCTGCGGATCCCATCAACCGTTCGGCAGCAGATGCTCTAGCCGCGGTAGTGTCACCCGGCGAAGTTTCGATGGAGACAGACAACTTTGACCCCGTATCAGGTAGATGGGGCTACCTTTGCCTGTGGGACGATTTATCCTTGTAATGATTTGTCCACCATAGATTCAGGTGAAGATGTCATGCAGCTATATTTTACAGCGGGCCAAGGAAACGGCTACTTTATCAGTCCCAACCAGTATCAACGCTTGAAGGTCCTTCTGCGGCTGGTCGACAACAAACGAGCGGCACGAGTGGGCAACATCTTTGGCTCCGAATACCTGGGCAAGAGGAGCGGTTCCGTCAAGAACCTGCTGGCCAGAAGCCAAAAGAGCGGTCCGCAGTATCCCTTCAAGCGTATGGACGCCTCCGAGTTCCTGGGTTAATTGACCCTACTCTGCTAAAAGAGAGGGTCGGATCTTGCTCAGATCCACGAGTAATCGTCGAGTATTAGGCGTTACAGACATATCCCTCGACAAAGTCCGTAAACCTACCCTGCCCCAAAAAGGCAGAACGCGCCACTGTGGGGCAGCCACGCCCTTTCAGCCCTTAATCGACCGATATCTTCTCCGTCCAAATAGTTATATTTAGCCTACATACGTGATTAAAGTTCGTCATCCAACGATCAAATTCCTTTCCCCTGGACAGTGGCTCGCAATCAGCACTGGTTTTCCTCCTTCTGTTTTTCCCCTCAAAAGGAAATCATATTGACTTGTTTAATGTATACAGCGCGGCAATACTGAGGCCTTTCCTCTAAGCTGCCGGAACTGATAATGATCTTTGTCATCTTCTCCTTGAGCCGGTTTTGCCATTTCGTGGTTGATTTTCGACGCATCGAACAACCTTCCGGTTCGTTCTTGTGGTGCATCACAGGAGAATAAAACCGTCAAGGTATCTCCATGTAGCCTCATAGTGCAAATAAATTACGAGTAAGTAAATTCCATGTTGAATGTGAATCCAGATAAAAGATATGGCCAAGCTACAGAACAGAGTCTAAATTTTCCACCACAAATACTCTAAAAATCAAAAGTGACCAAAAGCAAAGTGGCACAAGTAAAAGACTATCCAGAAAGGAAAAGTGCAAAGGTAGGCTTGGCTGTTCGAGGAAAAGATTGTGGACGGAAGTCAGTTAAAATTCTATGTGGAAACCAAGCTACATTTCTAGATTGTGGGCAGCGGTAGACTGAAAGCACTGGTAGGTCACCTCAGCAGCTGTGTCATCATTTTCAGATCAAATCAACAAACGAAAAAGAGGCCAACATTAAAGAGAGAAACAAGGAAAGACTGCAAGGATAGAAACACAAACCACACTGTGGGAAAGGTGTTGTCCATCACCGAGCAAGGACTATTTGCCACGGAATGTCGCTTTGGCGTCTTCCACAAAACTTGTTACGGCTCGAGGTAGAAAGAGGAATCAGGTGCCACCAGCATTACTAGTCGCTTCTCCACAGTGAAACTGCAAGCAAAGACCAAATTCCTCTTTTACAACCAATTTCCTATGCTCGTTTTCGCAATTTATATTATGCAGACGCTACTTGATGGCACCTGAGTCTACCTGAGTGTTCCGTTGTAGAGGTTACGAGGTGCGTAATCGGGCAGCGCAAAGAGCTGAAAGCAGCTGCATATTGCATACCAAGTGTCGCTGTGAAATTGATGGCCATCCATTAACACTGCAACATTCTTCCTGCAAACGAAATAGGAAATCGTTGATGACGAAGACTGGACGCGTTGCGGTGGAATATTAATGATGAACACTAACTCGCTCGGTGCTGCAGCAAGCAAGGATTGCGCTGAGCGGCAGAGCTCTTCTCCATTGAGGCCGTTCGGTCGAAGGACTGCGGCCTGCGCAATCGTCGACCTCAAGTGCGCCGCATACTTGTCTGCGCTCAGCGACGCATCTCGTTCTATCTTCACTTCGTTCTGCCTACAAGAGGTCAAAAACAAAAGCGATAACAATCCTTCCGCTCAAAATGTTGCTTTGTATCACAACCAGTACTGACATGCTACACGTTCTGGCGCGCAGAAACATCTCTCGGTCGAAAGCATCCGTCATGGAATCCTGAAGGACCACTTTGGCAATGCGGGACACGTCCGGAGCAACTGAGACCACTTTACGCTGGGCAAACCAGCCTCTCGTCGTCCTATTCCAAATAACGAATGGGAATACAGGCTAAAGTCCTCGGCAAACAGATCTGGAGAAGAACTATTTGTCAAGTCGCGCACCCTCCAGGCCAACAGCACTGTGTAGGTGCATCACTTGAGGAACAATTCTCGTCGAGTCTGTTTATCAAGGTCCCATACTTTATTCTTCGACTTTGAATAGTGAATGAACTGTCCAACCTACTGTGATGAGCAACAATCTACATCACGTAATGCTGCTTCAAGAAATGTGCGTGTCGCAAGCCAAGCCTGCGAAGGAAAACCTTCCACCCTATATAGCCGAGACAGCGACCCGGAAGCCTCTACAAAGCCTGCAAAATGTCAAAGGAAACTATCAGCCGGGCTCAAAGCATCTGGGAAAGCAGGGCGGATCTACCGTTGTCGTTCCAAGCGCCGATGGCCTTGATCGACGGGTCATCTTCAAAGACGGGTTCTTGGGCAGCCAAGAAATACAGAAAGTCCGGCGACAGCACCGTCTTTTCCTCGATGAGAAGCAGGTAGCGAGATTCTGAAGTCTTTAGAGTTTCTTCCATTGAGCTTTTGACGAAAGTCGAGTAGTCAGATCGATGAGCAGGAGTGAACACGTGGAAACTACCAGAGAAAAGCAATAATGTGTCCTGTTTCCGAATAAAATTTGTTATTGTGCATCCCGACATAAAGCCAGCCATGGAAACCGTGTTTTCTCCATGCCATATCTTGAAGTGAAAGCATGAACTGGTCTTTGTGCCACACCACACAACATGACAAAAGCATGTCCTACCCGTCTACTTTCGACGCGGGAAAACTCATTCAGTTTTCCTGTTTAAATGAGCTAACTTACTTGAATAATTTGATGAGTTCTTCAGTTTCGGTATCATTGGCGACGCGATGAGCAATGCGGACTTGACGGGGGTTAACACCAGGCTGCCCCAGCAGTGTTTCCAGCAGCAGCCTCAGCAGGTTGCGAGAAGCGGGCGCGATGACGAGGATGACGGTCAGATCACTGTAGACGGGACTGTTGACAAGGGAGACGTCGGCCAGCTTGGCCGGAACCAGCGGAGCCAGCTTCTTTTCCAAGGTGCAAAAGTCCCCGTAGGAGGATGAGTATCTCTGGCAGAAGTGCAGACGGTGAATGTTGCGCGTGTCCGGTAGCGGATCGGGACGGGTGGGATAACCCGGCAGGCGCCGTTCCAGGCAGAACCTACGGAAAATCAATAGACAGGCCTAGACAAACAAACTGAACAATATCACTCTTCCAAGTGGCGCGTCCTTCCAGCCAATATTACTGGCAACGTGCGCCACTTGGGGGAAAACAATCAAACTGGGCAAGATGGCTTTTACCAAGTGGCGCACACTTTCAGCCAAGTACAGTTACAACGTGCGCCGCTTGGAAAAACGAGCTTGGCGAGTTTGCATGCCGAGCTGGCAACTGGGAAAAGTGCCATTGGTACCTGAGGTCGATGGGTTCGGCCCAGTTGGTCTTGTCGCCAATCTTGAGGGCTTCGTGTCCGGTGAAGCCAGGAATGCCCTTCTGGCCGATCATGAACCAGGCTGCGCGGAACTTGAGGTCGTAGATGCGACTAGAACCCAGCTCAAAGAAGAGCGTTCGAGCCAGGTCGGACAGCCTGCAACAAGGTCACTGAAGGAAGGGGAAACAAGGACGGCTTGCTATGTTTGGCTTACTTGGTGGAGGCTTCGTCGTGGGTGAAAGTGATGGCGATCTCATCGGGCTGCAAGTCTTCCAGAAAGAGCTCTAGCATAATACTGTCTGTCCCCCACGTGTCAAAGTTCCCCACTCGGCTAACTTCGCCGCTCGGACCATTTACCACGGCGATATTAATGCCTCGTCCACCATGGTTGATCTTATTTTCGAAGACACTGTAAAGCAAGCCAAGTTATTCTTGGCTGGAGAATTTGCTTCTCTTCAAGCTGGTAAAATGTCATTTTGCTGTGTTCTCGATGACATCGATGTATGGCCCGTCATATCTGTTCAATTTTTCACGACCTTATCACTTACTAGGTTCCGTTGATGCAGAGTTTGGGTGGGTCGTTGTGGTCCTTGCCCGAGTAGACATGGACGGGCAGCATGGCGCCGTCACAGGCCGTGGCCAGACCACAGTTCTGCAGCCAAGTGCCCGTCTTGTAGAAACCTGAGGTCAGGTAGCCCGAGTTGCTGTTGGCAAAGTCGTGGTCCACCTCGTTGCCCAGGGCAGAGGCCAGCGGGGGGACACAGCCGCTGCGCTCCAGTGGCGGGTGGCCGTGATACAGGTCCACGTCCGAAA